TTAATGGAAGGAAAGTGAGGGAAATGAAAAGATTTTGAAGCCATATTTTTCTTTCAAATTTTCCGCCCAAATTGGGCGAATTTGGGAAGAAAGTGACGGAAAATAAAATCTTTAAGTTTATTTTTTTTCCCTCCTAACTCGGGAACACAAAAACTTAAAAATTTCTTCTCATTTCCTTTCATTTCCTCCGAACTCGAAAACACGGAATAAAGAAAATTTTCCTTCCCTGTTTTTTTTATTGAATTTACAAAAAAAAAAAAAAAAAAAAAAACTCGGCAACAAGACGTTAAAGACATAGTTGGGGCACTTTACTGTAAATGTTAAAACCCTAGGGGCTTGAATTCGATAATAGTGAACTTGTGAAATGCATTTGAAGAACCTAAACCCCATTCTTGCAATCGCATAGACCCCCTTCTGAAATCAACACAAATGTCTGCTTCGACGTCAAGAGCTGTTGTTTCCAGGTTATGTTCTCGAATTCCCAGCAAGATATTCAACGGGAAGCACCCTACAACTCCATTAAAATCAGCCACTTCACCTCCTTCCAATCCTTCAACAAAACGCATTTCTGCTACTTCAAGGTTATTGATCATACCCTTCCTTTCTTTCATCGGTCTTAGTGATCATACGTGTGGCTTCTCTAATTTATGTCTGCATCTGATTCAACGATTGATGACAATGGTGATTTTTGTTGGGTTTTGTGTTTGTTGATTAGATTACCGGTGCAGCTGAGCTCTCTGTTATCGATGATGCCTTTGCACTCTGCAATTGCTTCCTGCCGACTGACTTCGGCTCTTTCGGTTGAGTCTCAAAGCTGGGGTTTGATTCCACTAGGTAATTTCAATGCTGATACAATCCTACTTACATTTCTTTCTATTACAATATTATACTTTCAAAATCAATGAAAATATGTTGTTTATTTTTACTTCACTTGTTTATTTGTTCCAGTAATAAAGACAACCTTTTAATGCAAAGGTTTAAGGATCCGTTAAGGGACTAATTAGCTTTTCTTAATTTGTGTAACTGAAATTGGAAAATATATATATATATATATATATATATATATATATATATATATATATATATATATATATATATATATATATATATATCTTTTCAGTCTTTATGAAGTAATATTATCAATAAACATATGAAACTAGCTATTGAGAAGATGTAATTGTATGAAAGTAATGCAGCAGTTAGCATCACATATTCACATTTGATCCTCACTTTAGCGATTAAGCACAAAAAGATCAATCAATATTCTACCACCACTGAACATTTTTTAAATGTCTTTTTGTTCGTGTTTTCATGTCCTTTTATATTGTTTTAAAGAGTCATACACATACATATTCCTGTTTATGACAATTAGATGATTACATATATTGTATAAGATTTGAGGGATTGTGTTGAGTATAAATGTTTAAAATCTTGCTACAATAAAAGTGACAAATATTAAATGTATATTTATTAAATATAATATTCAACATTGGACTTGTTCTGAAGCTCTCAGTGATGATATATTTATGTAAAACTAATTGTTAAATATTAACAATTTATGTAAGAAACCAAGTCCAAGTGGTGTAAAGTGAATAGTATAACATTTGTTACTTTTGTTTGTTGCAGGTATCTCGATGCCTTTATGACAGCAGCTAGTTGCCAGTGGACAGTGGTGCTATCAATTCAGTAAACTGAGGACTGTTCTCAAGAATTTGGAGGGTTCTTTTGTCATTTTACATATTGATTACTGTTCTCTTGCTTTCTTGCTCCTGTTATTAAGAGAAATAGTCTGGCAGAAACCTGGAACAATGCTCTATTTTCTTTAGTCAAATGCAGTGAGTGACTTGTTCTTTCTTCTTTATTTAATGGACACAACTTAACTCGGTAATGAATGGGAAAACCCTAATAACTTTTATCAGTTTCATAGCTTGATTATCAATGGAATTTGTGTCTAATTCAAGAATGTATCAGGGCCTATCAGAAAGTCAATGCTTTTCTCATTTAGTTCCTACTCTTTCCAAATTTGTTTTCTTAACATCTTTTCAAATATATTTTAGGGAAATTGCTAGAAAACTCCAACGTATTATCCTTCGACCCCAAAAAACTGTTGTGTTATGTATCCATTAAAACCATTATATTTTCTGATTTTCTTTAAAAATTAATGTTTCGCAACCAGATAACCTGTTTTTCAAAAACTGTTATTGTTATTCTTAAAAATTGCTAACCATTTTGGCAGAAACTGAAATACCATTAATTTCCAAAGAATGTAATTGCTGTTCCACATAAGTTATAGAATTTTAACTAATAAATTCATGTAATCTTTTTTGTTCCATGTAGTTAGTTATGCAACCAGTTTTCGTGGGCGAAACATTAATTACCCAAAATCAAAATATATAATGGTTTTGATAGACACAAACATAAGATAATAGTTTTTTTTTAGTATTGAAAGATAATATGGTGGGGTTTTTTTGATATTTTCTAAATTTTTTAAATAATTACTAGTCTACATTGTAGCGAGGAAAGTGAAGATTATGCAAAAGACATTGTATTCCCTACACATGTCATGGAGGAATATGATGGTATTCCCTACCAACCCAAAATAGCTCAAAGAATTTATTACCGACTATCTGGTGACCAATAGGTATGGTTTATGGTATGAGAAGAACGACAAATATAAATTGATGGTTAGGTGTGGGAATAGAAAAGATAAGTCTCGGTGTCCTTTTAGACTTTGGGCTTCCTGGATGACCAATGAACATTCCTTTAAGAATAAAAGCTTAGATGCAAACCATAATTGTTCTAGAAATTTGCATCAAAGGTCACTTGTTACTAATCATTGGATTGAAAACAAATATGTAAAAGAGATATTGATAGGCCATATTTTAGTTACACAACATTGCAAAAGGACATAAAAGAGAAGTACGACCTGAAATTTAGTACGAGTAAAGTTTTGTGTGTGTTTTCTAAGACAAAATGTCTGCAGTCTGCGGACTATATCTGCAAATCTCTACAGTAGAAAAGGTGGATCAAACGTCTGCAATCTGAAAGAAGGAAACTGTTTGTTTTTTAATATCTACAGGGTGTTAGAATAAACTAAAATCTAATTAAGCTGATTTTTTTTTTTAAAAAAAAAAAAGTTAAAAGAGTTTTTTTTTTATAGTTTTATGATTTTATTATAGATAATTAACAAATGTAGATTAACTTTTATGTATTATTATATAAAAATTGAAAATAAAATGGTAAAAATTATCGTATATATTTTATAAAAACCAACAAACTTTGGTCGTAAAGTTATATCTAAACATTGTAATTAGGGATAAAATAATTTAACACATAACATGAATGGAAATAAACTTTGATTTTAAATGAAAATTTTCAAAGTTTTTATTTTACTTTTTCAATTAAATCAACTGAAAACTGACCATAATATTTTTTCCAATAAATAAACAATGTTGCATTAAATAATGTTTTATAAAATTTGGCCAAAAAAAAATATATAAGCCAATATTATGATTTTTGCATATCTATATAAACAACTCCACAAATTATTATTGTAATTAAATATTTATTTATAAATATGTCACAAAGGTCATGATTGTGTTATCAAACCTTTTTTGTAAGTATTGTAACATTTTTCCAATTTATTTATCATAGATAAAGTTGGAATAAATCTAAGTTTTAAAAAAAAAAAAACAAAAGTATATGTGTTTTTTAGGTTAGAAGATGTCTGAAGAGGTTTGAAGACATCTACGCCAAGAAGAGGACGCGTAGATCTTTTTTCGTCTGCAGTCTTAAAAAAACAAACAGTCTGCAAAGCCTAATTTCTGTGCGGCGCAGACAGAATAGGCCAAGAAGATCTGCAGACAAAAAACAAACAACACCTAAATGTCAAACAGTCAAAGAGCAACAAGGATTGCAATAAGTGAAGTAGAAAGTAAGTTGAAAGAACGCTAGGCTTTGTTGTGGTCTTAGGCAGAGGAACTTAGAAGGTCTAACGTTGGGTCAACTGTTTCACAGGATGTGATAAGTAAAAACTACTTTATTGTGTTTTACATTTGTTTGAAAGGTTTAAAGTAGGGTTGGATATATGGTTGTGATAAGAATATATATATGGAGGTTCTTGAAAGGGGTTTGCACAAGTGATCTAATCAGCCAATCTCTGTAATCAGAAGAGATGTTAATAACCAAATAGCTTGGGTTGAGCATTCGTAGAACTTGATAATTATCGAAAGCTATTTTCAATACATTCATGTCTTTTTCACATGATATTTAATAGTTAATTAGGAAAGAGCCCATGCTTCGCATGGGTTGTAAATAATTTAAAGTTTCCTAAAAAAATTGGTTGGAAATAATTTAAAGTTTTCTAAAAAAAATTGGCACAAAAGTGACAGTTGTCAAAGTTTAGTGGCGTTAGTGTAAAGAATCATCAAACTTTAGTGCCAAAAGTGTAAATAAGTAAAAGTGAAAGTTTTGTGGCAAAAGTGTAAAGAAATAAAAGTAAAGTGGCAAAAATATATGAATTGGAAAAGGTTCCTGTTAAGGCAAAAATGTAAAGAAATAAAACTAAAGTGGTAAAAGTATGAATTGGTAAAGGTTAAGGCAAAAGCGTAAGGAAATAAAAGTATAGTGGCAAAAGTATGAATTGGGAAAAGTTGAAAGTGGCAAAAGTATGAATTAAAAAAGGTTAAAGCAAAAATATAAAGAAATAAAAGTAAAGTGTCAAAAGTATGAATTGGGAAAATTTACTGTTAAAACTATCCATGTGCTTTAATATATATATATATATATATATATATATATATATATATATATATATATATATATATATATATAATTCCAATATCGCCTCTTTGGATAGGGCAAAAAATCACATTTTTTTGCTCCAACGATATAATTCTCTCGGTCCCAATCCAATACACATCAAAATCAATACAACCCATATATCCGTTACCGCAAACACAAGAAGAAAATTTACAGAATGTAGAAAACAAAAAGAGATTATTGGCAAGAGATGTTTGCAGTTTCCTCTGAAACATGTAAAATGTAAAATGTACAAATACGCATGAGGAAAATAAAATTTGGAAACAGATATAAAAAGCAGCAGCCAAGAAACAAGAATATAAAATATACGACGTAAAAAGAAACAAAAAAAGGAATCAAGTATATAGTAGCAGGAGGAGGAGGAGGAGGAGGAGGATATAACTCATAATCTCAGCTGGTGGTGGTTTTGTTAGGCTTATTAGGCTTCCCAAAATCAACCAAGTCTCCGAAAAACTTATCTTCAGCCTTTGTAGGCTTCCCAGATGGAACATGGACATAAGACGCATTAGCCATGGAGGGACCCGTGTAAACCGTACTATTGTTGTTCATATAACCACTGTCGTCTCTAAGCGATAACCCTGACATTCTCTGGTCAACAAACTGAAACTGCTGTGTGTTTTGTTGTTGCTGGTAACCATAGTTAGCAGCACCATAACCATAGTTATTGGTGTTGTAACCGTATGGCATTTGGTTAGCAGCGTACATGGGTTGTTGTTGTTGTGGGTACATTTGACCGGTGGGTTGAAATTGTTGTTGCATGCCCAATCCCATTACCTGCTGTTGTCCTTGAAATTGTAATTGTTGTTGCTGTTGTTGTTGTTGAGGATATGTGATTGGCTGCTGTGGCTGCATGTACATGCCCATTCCCTGATTGTTTGTTTGTATTTGTAGCCCCACTTGAGGTTGAGGGGCTACTGATTGGTTATCATCCGTTGATTGAGCTTCCCATGGAGGTGGTGGTAGTCCTACTCCATCACTTGTTGGACCACCTGACCCTGAGATGTTATGTTATTCATAACATAATAAAAGTAGGATGTTATATTATAAAAATATTTACGAAACTACATTGTTATTTCTATATAAACAGTAAGCAAAAAGTATAACTCTTACCATTCCAGGAAGAAGTAGCTCCTTGATTATACGTGGTCTGTGGCTCATATTGTGGTGGCAAAGTATTAGGAGGAGTATTTGCATTCGGGTAAAGTAATGATTGGTGAGGTGGAAAATTTTGGGACTGTTGTAATTGAGGTGAAGAAGAATATGTTTGTCCTTGTCCAGCTGGCACATTTGGATTTGGCATGTTGTTCTGTGAAAGCATGTCCACTAGGGCTAGGGCATTATTATACTGAGGTGGTGGGGTGGTGGTCGACTCAGGTTCACCCGTGGGTACAATGGCTAGGGAGTTTTCGGGAGTTGGTGAGCCAAAGTCGTCCCCACTCAGAAGGTCAAACTTGGGGTTGACCGTCGCTGGAGTTGCTGGTGGTGGGCCGGTGGTTGTTACCGGAGTAATGGCAAGGAAATTTGCCTCTAAACTGCCGCCAACACCGTTGCTGGAGGTTGACCTGAGCATAATACAGGGAATTTTTTTAGCCCAATATTGGAATACAATTATGACATTACCTAATTCCATTGGTTTGTTTATCATAGCTTTAAATGGTAAAGAATAAATATAAACTTGATTACCCAGATTGTTTGGTGTCTCCTGTATCAATAAGAAGATCATCCACAGGTACCAATGCTTGACTAGTTTCAGGCTTTGACTTTTCAACTGGGACAGGTGTTCCTGAAACAAGTGCTTCATGTTTGGCTAGGACCCGCTGCAAGTCATCATTCAAAGCTAAGCCTTGACATAAAAGCGATTCATCCCTGTCACAAGGAAAAACTAAAAGGATTAAACACTAGAAATAGCAACATACTTTCATTGATTTGTTTTTTATAGAATCCAACTTCCATCCTTCCTTTTATAGCAATGTCATTCAAATTTCACTGCTATAATTGGGTAGATTTTTCAAAGTACAATGTCCTAAATAAGAAAAAAAAAATAGAATGCTATAGTTGGGTGATGTGGCAAGAAAAGTTATACAATACAAGGCCTTACGATGTTGAGTTCACAAGGTGTACTACTCTTCGCTTGTATGTACTACATTGTTCCACCAAGTCTACAATGACCTCTTGTCTTAGTCCCTGATTCCAATTTTCAAAGGAAGACTTAAATCAAACTTGAGGAGCAAAATCGTAAAAAACAGTGAGGGGCAAGACCAGAAATTTTAAAAAAAAACTTTACCTCTTTCTTCTCTGGATCTATTGCAGTTAGCATTTCTGCAAGGACATCCATGATACCTTGTGCATTCTGCAGTTCTGTCAAGCTGAAAAGAAAAAACAGAATAAGACATAGAACTACACTTGACAGATTTTAAATAGTAACTATTCAAGTGAAACATATATGAACAAGCAAACAAAATGCATCTAAAAATTTTAATACAAAAAGCTTAAAATGTGATTTCTAGATATACCTCAAAGTTGGAAACTCAGCCTCCACAGAAGACTCGCCTGCTTCATTTCCATTTTCTGGATTATTTGTAAGTGAAGATCTACTTTGTGTTTGTGGGTTTGTGACAGCTGGCGCTGGTCTGTCAGTCCTCTGTGGAAAAACTGCTCCAAGACGCTGAAACAAAAGAATAAACATATATCAAAAAATATATATTTCTTCCAAGAAATCTCTATCAAAAAGTTCAAGAAAATATATATATTTTTCTAACATAACTTACCAATAATTCATGATATGCTGCATAGTATTGTGGGTACCTAGCCCTTGATCCTCCAAACCCTTCTTGCCAAGTGTCTATTAGAATTAAGATCTTCTCTTTTACATGAAAATCAGGCTGCAGTTCACAAGATTATTATTTATGTCAAACAACAATTCACTATAGCAAATTGCTTAAAAGATAATAGTTCTAACCTTCTTTTTTACTATTTTCACCATCTCATGAAGCAGATCTCTCTCAGCTACATGCATATGGACAAAATCCCCACAGTTCTTCATAATCGTTTCCAAAAGCTTAAACACAGTAAACAAGATGAAGATCTTTATGTGAATCCACTAAGAAAAAGGTCTTGAAAATTGAACATGTGGTCTGTATTTCTTTAAGCCAATCTACAACTTTTTTGGGGGGTTTCAATCTAATTCTAACTAACAATACAATAAAGTCACCCTCGAGAGAATTTAAAGATTGGGTATAAAAGCAAAGTGATTGGTAAAGATCTACAAAGATGAGGGCAGTAGTTTTCTTTGTGCTTACTGTTAATACAAGAAGTTGAACTTTTGGATTCTTGCTTCCAAGACGCTTTTTTATGCCTTTAACAACATCCTTAGCTTGCCTGAATAGCAATTACATCAATGTTAATACCACATGCATCAACTGTAGTATATACACACAAGTAGCATTCATCCCCCCTATACGTTGAGGACCTTATTTTCTTCTTTCATTACACTATTTCTAAACGAGTCCAGGGTTTGAATGAACATTCATGATATCAATGCTAGTAAAAATATCAATGATATGGAGCTGGTACAGGTCAATTTAAATTCAGATTTTGTATATACAGAATACTGTGTAGAGCTAAACCTACATTTATCTGTGCAAAACCTTTTCCATTATGTCAATCTGCTTCTTTGATTCTAAGCTAATCTAACCACAAAGACTACCTTTGTAGGTGATACATGCCACCATAACTGGATGATCAAAATCAGTATCATCATTTCCTCTTATTATCTCTATTGCACAATATTTTATCACTATTTAACAGACCCCACATTATTAAATATACATCCATTCTTTTGTGTTTTTTAGTTGATCATGACAAAACTAAAAATGGTAGAAGTAAACAGAATGCCCATCAAACAATATCAAAGTTAAGAGCAACCCCCAAAATCTCCAACAATAGGCTAATTTCTAGTCAATTATGCTAAGTTCTTAAGTACCTACATCAGAGTATATCATATACAAAACAAAGCGTAGAGCAAATACACTCAAATCACAATAGAGATGTGCAGAATAATGTGTAGCTGAGCAAGGTCAAAAACAGCCCCAAAATCTCAATTTCCATGCCAACTCAACCCTTCACTAAACCCAGTTCCTTACAGATACAATTATACCTAACATTATTGAAGAGAAAGAACAGACTTATAGATTTCCAGTTTCACTTCAATCTAACTTCTCTAATCTTGCTCAAATCATTTAGTTCTAACAATTTATAGCCAAATAAACCCTAAAATCGCACATTCCTACACAACCTCCAGTCCAAAGTAATCCGTTTCATCAGAACCTACTCAAATTTCAATATAAAAACAAATATGTCGGTTTTAATGTTCAGCATTACAAGTAAAAGATAAAGAAACAAGATCAGTTCGTATTACTAAACATGATTTACAAATAGAACAAGATCGAAGAAGAGCGAGAACATACGCAGGATCATGATTGCAGATATCACAGATTTCAGTATTCATCGACCAATCAGGTCCTATAAGCATGCTGCTTGTTGCTCTTTCCACCATTGAATTCACCATCTCTTTCAGTATAAATCGAAACCCTATAAATCACCCGAAACTTGATTGGATTTATTATTTCCAGCCGGATTTCGTCCGGTTATACAAACGGCAAATTCAGAAAGAACACCACCACCTAATTTGCAAGAAAAAAAAAAATGAGAGATCAAACAGTCAAAAACACCTATGTCCCTATCTAGATCTTTGGGTTTCGATCCGTGATCGCTGTTTCTTATTCCTTCTCCCGTTTTTTGCATTACCGAAAAAAAGAAAATCGGAAAGTAAAAGTAGCCAATCAAGAAAAGAAACGTGGCAAGTCGATTACTGCTTGATTGTTTTGCATATTCGGATCACGCGGTTAGAATTTTTCGCAAGGAAGTTTGAGGGTTTACCGGAACACGTCATCAGATACGGTTGAGTCAAATAAATGTCAACAGGTGAGAAAAAAACAGTCTAAGTTTTTTTTTTGTATTTTACCCATAATTTAAAATCTTCACTTGGAGTTTAGCCGCAGTTGGTATATTGACGTTAGGAGTGGCAAATCGTGTTATCGTTTCGTGTTTTTGTCTGACACGACACGACATGACAAAGTTTTATGTAACACGAACACGACACGACACGATGTCGTGTTTTTTTAACTAACACGAAAACGAACGAAATAAAAAACGACAAACACGACACGACACGAAAAATATATGATATACTCAAAAATTAGTTTATTTAATGAATATTTTATCAAATATAACACGAAAACACGAAAAACACGATAAATAACTGCTAAATCGTGTCAATTTCGTGTCGAATTTTGAACACGAACACGACACGACACGACATCGTGTTTTTTACAGTTAACACGAACACGACACGAACACAAATTCAAATTTCAGTTTCGTCCCAATTTCGTTTCATGTCGTGTATTTTTGTCGTGTCGTGTCATAAATTGTCACCCCTAATTGACATCTAGTTGTGAACTAGAGTAAAGGATCTCTTGTATCTCTATTTTTTTATATTTGTTTTTCTATATATTTATAATTTTATATTTATTTATATTAATATGATTTATGCATAGACGATTAGTTTTATTTCTACGATTAGTTTCATTGCGGAGATAGTTGTTTTGCAGCAGACGTCAAATGTTTTTTTCATTGAATAGTTTCATGCGCAATAGTTGTTTTGGTTTAAAACTTAAAGTATGTTGTTGTTTTTGTTCTAAAACTACGTTGTTTTAGGTTAAAATTAAAATTACATTGTTGTTTTTGGAAAAAAGAATACTTTGTTGTTTTTTATTAAAAGAAAAGAGCATTTTTTGTTTTTATTTAAAAATAAAAGTTTGCTATTTTGGGGAAAACTTCAAAGTATGTTATTATTTTTGGTTTAAAATTCTAAGTATCCGTTGTTTTGGGTTAAAATAAAGTTATGTTAGTGCTTCGGATTAAAAATGTTAATATAAGTACATTGTTGCTTTGGGTTAAACATATAAGTACGTTATTGTTTCGGATTAAAAATAAAAATATATTTTTATTTTGTTTAAAAAAATATTGTTGTTTTAAAATAAAAATAAAAGTACATTGTTTTAGGTTAAAAGAATGTACATTGTTGTTTTTTTACAGCGTCGCACTTTTGAAAATATAATTGGTTGTAACATTGGTCTTAGGATATACAATTAAAAGTTCAACGATGAAAATTGCATTTTATATGAATGACGTATACATATAGTTCGATAAATGTTTTTATAGCACAATGTTATAATAAAAATAAAAGAATATTATTTTCAAAGAATTTGTATCTTCCAAAAATCGATGGCGTTGCAAGTCCACTCTTTTAAAGAGTTATTGTTGTGCAGTGGCTTTTTGCCCATCGACTTGCTATAAGATTTTCTTATATTTATGAGGCAATTGTTTTTCTGATTTCTGATTAATATGATATATGCTAAATGATGATCGAAAGTTTAATATGTGAATTCTGGTTTTGAAAATCTAATATGTGATTATTATTTTTAAATAATCTGATATGTGCTTTTGATTTCTAAATAATTTGGTATGTGATTTTGATTACTTAATGATCTGATATATCATATTTATGAGGTAATTATTTTTCAGATTTCTAATTAATTTGATGTATGAAAAATTCTAATTGAAAGTTTGATATGTAAATTCTGATTTTAAAAAATCTTATATGTGAATTTCGATTTTGAAATTTTGATATGTGAATTTTGATTTTGAAAATCTAATATGTGTTTTTGATTTTTGAAATAATTTGATATGTTATTTCAATTTTTGAATAATTTGATGTATCTAAAAATATGATATGTTATTTTAAAGTTCGAATAATTTGATGTATAATGATTTTGAAAATCTGATATGTTAATTTAATTTCTTTAAGTCTGAAGTGTTAATTCTGATACCAATTTATGATTTTGTTCAGCTTGTGGTTATAGATAGCTAACTTAAGGTTGTATCCTTATTTGCTTTACTATATCCTTTTGATTTTCAATCTCTTTTTTCTAAGTTTAAATATGTTCCCTATAAAACAACAATCGGATGCTCAAAATAGAAAATGAAAGCAAAATTAACAAAATTTTATTAATACCTTTCAATGGTCTTTAAATAAGTATTTTGTTAGAAATAAAAATAATGATGAAAATTATAACAATGTTGAAACTAATGATTTTGTTGATAAGTCTATTAACCTGGTTGAAAATTCTAATGAATAATGGTCTTAAAAAATAATGATTTTATTGATAAACCAAGTGATATCGATGGAAAAAAATTATTTATGGAGTTGCAGATTTTACAGGTAATGTTGTCGAATGAATTTTACAAAGGTGAAGTTCATTGGACAACTATTCAAATTATAGAGTTCGCAAAGAAAATGGACATTTTTCATAATGCGTTGGTAGCATATAAGATCTTATTGATGGTACCGGTTATAGTCACGTCTGTATAAAGAAGTTCTTTTGAAATTGAAGTTATCGAAATTATATCTTTGAAATACCATGACTCAAGATAGATTAAACGGGATTAGTAATTTTGAGTAAAGTCAATTTCTACAAAGTCTTAATTATCATAAAATAATAGATCATTTTACTTCAGAAATGCACAAAGGCATCGTTTAAATGAATTCTTGTATGTTTTTGTTTGTATAACAATGGATTTAGTTTGAGTATAAAATTTATTTCACTTTTGCTATATAAATTTTTTTAATATATAAAATCATTAATTTGGTATCTCACCCCGGATATTAAAAGTCGTTTGAGCGGCTATGCCTTCGAATTATCGTCAAATGGGTTAATCATGATAGATAGATTGTTCAGAAGCCACTTGGGAAGTTTTAAGACTATTGGGGAGTCTTCTCGGCATGACACTCGACAAAGTCGATCTGTCTCAGCAAACACCGCCCCACGACCTCAGCATGTCGAGGTCAACGGGTCAATTCGCTAGAATTTTTCCAAGTCAACTCCTCCTTCAAAGCCGATCAACAACTATATTTTTTATTTTATTTTTCCAGCTAAAACCACTATATATACCTACCAAACCATACCATATTATCCTTATTTTTATATCATTTGAGATTGGTGGGGAAAAATACATGGTTAGAAGAGCGGTGATATGTAATGTTGAAGGCTATCACAATCTTCATAGCGATTTTGTGGACCATATTTGAACTGTTAACCACATTGACTTGAACGTTGAACACGTAGACGATATGGAAAGCCAATTTTCAAATGACAACTTTTATATAATTTTTATTAGTTCCGCATTTTAAGTTTTTAAATTTTTTTGTTATGTATTCATTATTTCAGTTTAATGGAAATTACAATTTTTATCTAACTTTAGTTCTTAAAATAAATTAATTAAAAAGAAAGAGTGTCGCAACATGGCAAACCATTCCCTTCAAATGTCAAAAAATCAGAAAAGTATAAAAAAACTATTTAAATTGCAGAAAAAAAAAGCGACAAATGTGATAACAGTCTTTGGTATAAGGTCATCCGTTATACCCACCACTAACCATTATAGTGGTGGGTGACACATAATCACCACTAATTACCACTAAAATGTTGGGATACTCACCACTATATCCCTATTATTTTTTGATTATTAAAATAAAAAATTTATATTTTTTAATTAATTAAATTGTAGAGAGATGTGGAGAAAGGTAGAGAGAGATAGAGAGAAATAGATGGAGAGAGAGAGAGAGAAACAATTTGATTGGGTGTGGTGGTTCATGCTCCCCACCACAATTGACCACGAAAGTTGTCTACCACTAACACCTTGGGATGATGTTCACATTTGTGGTTAGTGGTCATATTGTAGGCGGTGTTTGGGATTACTTTTGAACATGAAAAGTCATTTTTATAGAAAGACTTTTTTGTAAAATGACTTTTTGCAAAAGAAGTTCTTTAAAATGTGTTTGGATTAGCAAAAGGACTTTTGGTTTAACTTTTACATGTAAAACAACAAAAAGTCAGTTTTTGTGATTTTTAGAAACTCTTCCTTTTCTTCTATGCCAAAAGTCATTTTCAAAAGAAATTTTGAATTATCCAAACATCTTTAGACTTTTTTTTGACTTTTTGGAAAAGTTAAAAGCCAAAAGTTATTTTAAAAGGAATCTCAAACACTCCTGTAGACGAGGAAGGCATTAATACAAACTTCAACTCAACCTAACTATGGACTCATGATAAGGTCATCTGTTATACCCACCACTAACCACTATAGTGGTGGTTGACACATCATCACCACTAACCTTCATTAAACATATGGGATACCTACCATTAAATACACCACTCCACCTTATTTTTTTTAATTAAATTTAAATAAAAAATACATAAAAATCATATAATTTCTTTTAAACACTAGTTTTTCATTAATTTAAAATACCAAATTACATTAAATAAAAACTAAATTAATTAAAATAAAAATAATAAAAATAACATTAAAAATAAAAATTACATTAATTAAATAAAGAAATAAAAATAATATTAAAAATTAAAAACCTAAAAATAGCAAACTTCTTATTTGTGTTTTAAGCAAGGTTATTCCATTTGGGGAATTCTTCAATTTTTGCCAAGCTTTGACATGTCCAAAACGTTTATGATTTGTGTTTTCATATTGCTCAATGGCCACATTAACCGGATTGATATCGGCTTCGTGTACGTTGTTTATAACAAAGTTGTAAATTCCATTGAACTTAGAACATTTGGCCTTCATATCGTGCCGCTTCGAGCATATTTCATCAACATTTCAAATTGCACAACCCATTAAACCATGGGAAACACTTTCAACCTTTCTCCAAAAAGAACCATACGTTTGACCAGCGCCTTCTTCCGAAACCGTCACCCATGTTTATGCTAATTTCTCTTCTTCCTCTTCTGACCATTTCTTATTTTTAGGAGGCATGGTTTTTTAAAGATCAAACAACAAAAATGTATGATGACTAAAGGGAGAATAAATGTGTGAAAATTAAGATAAGTGGTAATATTTATAGGTAAATATTGATGGAAGAAAAAGAAATTGAAAGTAGCCGTTAGGTGGTCAAACGAGATTTAATGGAAGAAATGAATTGTGATTGGGCGTTTGAAATCGTTGTCCGGAGCACGAAGGGCCACGACCACGACCCATCACGAGACACCGGGATGGTGAGAACGGTCGTGGTTCGTGGCCACCTAGACCACGACCTCGTTCGTGGCAACCATACCAAAAGGTCTAATAAGCCCAAGAAACCATCAAAATGCCCAACCGATTATGTGAATAAAAGGCATGTCCCTTCTATTACTCTATTAGTGGATTGTATGCAAAACAAACACTTCTCTTTTTTGTTGCATGTTTATCCTAAGGCTTCTTTCATTGGCACCAGTGAACCACTATCTACATTTTTCCTACTTTTAGCCTAGCATTAATTCTTATATTAGTATTTAAAGTGATGTAACTGCATTCGAGAATACACAGAAAATTGCCCCACGACTCTTGTTCTCTGTTTCTTCTTCGGGGAGATTGACTTCCTAAAATTCGTCACTAATTAATAGATTGAATAACTAAATACTGACTGCCGAAGTTTCTTAGAGGCACACAAATTGTTCAATGAAACGCTTGAGAGAAATATGGCTTCCTGGAACACACCAAACCCGAGTCTACTGTATATATCACCATTTTTGAGATCTTTAGGAGACTCTTCAAGTTTCCAATTTGGCAAACAGATGCATTTTCATGCATTGAAGAATGAATTCACTCAAAATGTGAAAATTGATTGGATAATAGATAAAAGTTTTTGATTAGTTACTTAATTTGATAACAGATACATACAAAACAAATGTCTCAAGATGGTTTTGTTTTTAATCATGATGTTTGATTTTTGGTTGAATTAGTTCACAAGATCTAATTTACAAAGGAAACTACTACATATTGTTGTTACAAGTACTTGAGCTCAAGAAATGAAACTAGTATGGAACAACAGTGCGTACAGTTGATGGGCCGCTTTTCATATCCTCCAAAATAAGCTTCCGAAGAGACTCTGTCACTACACCTTCTTTTCCTGCAAAAATATTAAAAATAAAAAATAAAATAAAAATTATAAATGGACAATGTCACTAAAACACACGTCAAAACGCCCCCTAAATTGCATAAAAAGATTTCAAAAAATTTCTCACCATTTCCTATGACTTGATCATCCCATTGCAAAACCGGTCGAACAAGAACTCCACTACCAATCAACATCATTTCTTCCGCCTCTTTCCCTTCCTCCACCGTAACATCTTTCACTTTCACCCCCCGAACTTTCCCTTCTTTTACCAAATCACCCACAAGTTCCAAAACCCTTTTCGCAGTACACCCACTAAGTATGTTATCAAAACGAGGCATCAAAAGCTCGTTTTCTTTTGTAACAAAAGCCACATTCATATTAGGCCCTTCCGCAACAAACCCTTCTTCATCCAACCAAATCGCAGCATAACCACCGTTTTCTTCCGCTTCCATTTTTGAAAGAACATTCGGGAGATAGTTTACACTCTTCATGATGGCAAACTGCGGCGGTTTTATCGGAATAGATGATGTAATTACTTTTATGCCCTTGTAGTTAGGAGGCGATTGGTCTTGGATTACGATGGCATAAAGAGCGGATTGATGGCAACCTGAGGGCGAGAGTTGGAAATCACCGGGACCCGATGAAAGCCAGTATCTTAATGATCCATTTTTGCAATTCGAAGCACTTACGGTTTTTAAAAGTATTGCTTTTGTGGTTTCTTTATCGAAAGGAAGGTTTATTCTTGCCTTGCTTGCAGAACCGAGGAAACGATGAAGGTGTTGATCCAACTCGTATAGGCATCTGTGTCAAAGGGTAAAATAGTCATTTGTTGTAATAGAAAGAATTAAGTTAAATGACTAACCCGTTCACTATGGCGGCTGTATCAAAAACACCATGTCCTCTATGAACCATGTGATCATCCATGGGAATCACCATAGCAGCTTCATCAGTAGTGATTCCACCAAAAACACTCGAGTACATAGCCAAATATCGTTGTGTGCTTTTGTAACTTTCTTTATTTCTCCTCAATCTTTCTATTGCCTTCACAGAATTAGATCATTTTTAATGGGAATTTTATATCAAATCTTAGTTTCACTTCCTAAATTTCATTATGCTTACCCTTGTTTTCTGTTTCTTTTAAAAAAGCAAAAGATTTTGAAAACTTTGAAAAAGTAAAATAGCTCAAATGACATGAAAAGCTCAATTTTAAGACTATTCAAAAAGAGATTATACCTCTGAAGCTGAAAGAAGCGGAACATCATATACACGAGTACTTTCTGCAAGAACCAACTGAAAAAACTAGTAAGAATATCTTGATTTTGCGATTAAAAAGGTCAACTTTGCCCAAAATTGACAAGATTATTATTTTGAAACATTGAATTTGTTACCACCGGGGGTGTTTGGATGTGCGTTTTAAAATGATTAGTGGGAACTGGGTTGTGTCAAGAATCAGCTTTTTATTTATGTGGAAGTTTGACCTCAAAAGTCAATACTTTCTTTTATTATTGTTCTTAAAACACAAAATTCATCGAGTTTCTTTTCAATTTAACATGGAACACTTTTTACTTGTAGATCATGTAGCGAAGATCAATTCCCTAGATGAATTTTTAATAAATGTACATAAATTTTGAAGTAGAAAAGTAGCATGTTTGACCTACAAAAGTCAAACTGCAGCTTTTCTTCTAAACTGTACTTTTTCCTGTAAATTAAACAAAACCCAAGACGAAATCGTACCTATTCGTACACAAAAGTAGAATCTCTATCACTTACCACCCATTGAATATCATATTAACATAAAAAGAACAAACGAAGTTTTAAAATAAACCCATGAAAATGTATTGAAAACTCACAACTTACCAATGGATGAAGCTTTAACCACGTGGGATCGTCTCGGAGATATTCCACTCACCCTAGACTGAGAAAATTGAAACGAGGTTCTTCGAAGTGGATGAATGGTTGAAAATTTCGAAGGAATTGGTGGTTGATCGGCGAAAATCAGCTGGAATTGTGGGGTTTCAGAAATTGGTCTCTTGAGGTACGAGAGAGAAGCCATGGAAATCAACCGGAGTATTTGGTCAATTGGTTGTTGATCGGCGAATATTTTGAATATTTCGATCGAATTTGAAAGATGACAATTGATAAGGTGGTTGCCGGCCGTCGGAGTGTCTGTTTATGGGGAAAGTTTCAATTTGGTCCCTGAACAATACTATTAGTAGTACACTTGTCCCTAAACGAAGAATTTAAAGGAATGCAAGACAAACGCAAATTGTTATTAGAGTAAATTACAGTCTTGGTCCCTGTGGTTGTCTATGTTTAACACTTTTGATTTTTGTTGAATAGTTTGATAACAATCAAGTCCCTTCGTTTAAAAACCCTAACCGAAGGATTGTTAAACTTAAAAAAAAAAAAAAAAAAAAAAAAAAAAAAGACAATTTGCCATTCTTTCACATTAATGAAAAAAATGATATAGAAGATTAGAAGGTCTAGTTTTTAAAAACACTATTTTTTTACATTATATTATATCGAAATACTTTTTTTTGCCATATAACATCTACTAGGCCACCATGAAAACTACTAAACCACCACCAAAAGTTTTCAGGTGAAATATCTAAAATGCCCTCAACCTAAAAAAATCTACCCACCAAAATCTCAATAAACCATACACAACCACCATCACTGCCACCATAAAGGACGTAATGAAAATAAAAAGCAAACAACAATATCACACATCATTCATTAATGTACTTGAAATTTATACATAGTTGGTGACAAAATGTAGCAAATAAGGTTAAACAATTATATAAACTAGCAATCCGTACACACAACCAATAACCACAAGCAATTTGTGCATATACACATCCCAACTTAAAATGTCATAGACGCAACTGAACCAATGATTTAACATGAAGTCTTCTCATGATTTTCAATTGAACATGGAAAAGAATTTTATCTCACATTCTTGCTTTTGGCTCTCCCTTGACTATTAAATTAACAAATTCAACAAAATAAATTACAAATAATAATAATAAACCAGTAACCCATAGTATATTTTAGTAGCCAAATAACAATCAGTGAAACCAAAAATATAATGACAAAATCATCAATGTATTCAAGACAAGTTGTTGAGGAAGGAAACAAACATCGATGATGAAGCGACAGGTAGATTGTAGGGGCCAACAACATCATGGGGAACAATTAAATGACAGTAATCAGCAACACAAACGAACAAATGAGAGCCCAAAACTAATGACCCAATCAGGGCATAACCAGAAACACAAATGTATTAATAATTTAAAATAGTCATAAGCTTAAAGGACTGTGTGGAGGCATATGAATAAATATATTATTGCTATCAAGGGCGGACGCAGAATATATAGGAGGTGTTGCCGATACATGAAAAGTAGGTAAAAAAAATCGAAAAACCGAAATTTTTTCCACTGCGGACAGAAAAAGTAGGTGTTGCCAGTGTCACACCGGAACCCTCTAGAACAGCCCCTGATTGCTATGAAATCTAAAATTCAAATCGTACCAAGTACATAATCACGTTACGGGGGATTCTGATGATTTCCATGAATAGATCGATATTCCGTAAATGTATATAAATACAAAAAGATAAGAAATATGACAACTTTTAAAAATCATATGTTTATATTGTCCTATCCACAAATGTGCTAGTTTGAAGAACGAATATAATATCAACATCATTATGATATAAATATAAATGATAAGAAATATGCCGGCCCTTAAAATTAATGTTTCCAGAACGATGAAGCAACATGTTTCATTACGTTTTTTTTATTAACGTCTGGATGCCACTCACCAAAATTGACCCGATTGTCAAAGAATTCCACTTAAGTGAAATAAATATATGTATCGCTGCATAAAAAGTGTAATCTCTCATCTTGTAACATTCCGTTTAAAATAAATTAATACATAGATAAAATAAATAAATAAATAATCCTAAAAACCCCGAGATGTATTTTATATTTTATTGTATTTTAGCCCTAAAGCAGTAATAGTTGATCGGTGTTAGCCAGGGGAGGTAAATGTTATAATTTTAGGAAATTGGAGTCTAAATTGTATCAGTTGGACTTGAAATGTAAAGAATTTCGTGACCAAGGGTTGTTTGGTAATTAATGGGCCTAATATGAAAATGTTAGTGGCTGGAGGGGCTGGAAGTGTCAAATGTGTATTCAAGTTTGGTAAAAACACATGACTTGAACCCGGTGGTCTCTCCCTCCCGTTTTTAAGCATCATCACCTCCAAAACCCTAACCCTAGGACATTACCTCCAGCCGCCACCCTTATACACCCTAACTCCGGCCGCCGCCATCTCCTAGCCACTGTTCAAGCCGTGAACCACCAAGCTACCGAATACCGCCATTGCACCCGTTGTCGAAGAAGCCGGAAACCCTGAAGCCAACCATCGTCGTCGTTGTCGCCTCTCTCTCTCGCTCTCTCTCTCTCTCTCTCCCTCTCCCTATCTCTCTCCGGTAACGGCGCAACCCTTCCCACCCTCTTTGCTCTTCTGTTCCTTCATCCCGCCGTCGCCACCACCGCTCCGACGGGTGCCTCGTCTTGAAGACATTCTTCTAACCACTAGGGGTGAGCAAACCCAAACCAAGAAACCAAGAAACCGACTAAAACCGACGAAACCGAAACCGAAAAAACCGAAACCGAAGCAAAACCGACGGGTAGGGTTTGAATTTTTTAAAAACCGAAAAATCGGGTTCGGTTTCGGTTTTTACCCAGAAACCGACCCATCCAACCCGAGAAACCGACCCATTCTTAAAACCGACAAACCACCCCAAAAAACCGACCCATCCAACCCGAGAAACCGACCCATTCTTTATTGTTTTTTTATTGTAATAGACTATTTTGGGCTTTGGTTGTAACTTGTAATAGACTATTTGTTGTAAGACTCATGTTTTTTGAAGGATTTAACTTAAATTTGGTGTTTTTTGAAGTATTTAACTTGTTGCTTCATTTATGGAAGATGGGTTAAAACCCAGAACCCGTGACTGTATGGGTTGAACTCAATAAACCGAAAAACCGCCCAAACCGACCTCAGAACCCGAGAAACCGAACCGATCAGAAACCAATCCTATTGGGTTTTGAAAACCAGAAACTGGCCATTTATGGGTTGGGTTGGGTTTGGGTCCAAAACCGACCCAAACCGATCCATGCACAGCCCTACTAACCACCGTGTAACATCCCAAAATTTAGAGCCAAAAATTTCATTTTTAATTAGGTAAGTTATAAAAGCAATAGTCTGAAAACATCATCAGTGTCATTCAAATCATACTCAAACCCAAGTGTCAAAAATCAAAACCATAACATGTCATAGTAAAACAATACCAGAGTGCAATCCCCAAGGATCTCGCAATGCGGAAAATCATAGTGTGATGCGCTGCGATCAAGCCGACTCCTTTCCTTTTGAAGAAAAAGTACCTGAAACCAAAACTGAAAACTGTAAGCACGAAGTTTAGTGAGTTCCCCCATCATACCACATACCATACAATACACATACTGCCTAGCATATTTAGGTGTTGGCCTACCCCTTCGGTCTCTTTCAACCAGTAACCGCCTAGCATATCAGGGTGATGGCCTACCCCTTCGGTCTCTTTCAACCGGTAACTGCCTAGCATATCAGGGTGATGGCCTACCCTTTCGGTCTCTTTCAACCGGTAACTGGGGACTATTTCACCCCTACCACTACCACATAATACCCTAACATATACATATAAATCACATACTGCCTATCATATATGGGTGCTGGCCTACCCCTTCGGTCCTTTCGACCGGTTACAGGGACTATTTCACCCCTCCTACCACTATCACATAATATCATAGCATACTGGCACATAAAGCATAACAGATAGTGACATACCAGACAATTATCACAAAGACAATCATATCTACGATAATCAGTTACTAGTGAGTCGACATTGGTTCCTTCGACCCACTTCTACAGGAAGGTAACTCACCTCGCACTGCTGAAGTCCCGCGGACAAAACCCTAGCTGCTGGATGACAGATTCCCGAACTGTCAACATCAAAATAACACCCAGTTAATAATTGGGTTCCAATACATATCACCCCTCCTACCACTATCACATAATATCATAGCATACTGGCACATAAAGCATAACAGATAGTGACATACCATACAATTATCACAAAGACAATCATCTCTACTATAATCAGCTACTAGTGAGTCGGCATTGGTGCCTTCGACCCACTTCTATAGGAAGGTAACTCACCTCACACTGCTGAAGTCCCGCGGACAAAACCCTAGCTGCTGGATGACAGATTCCCGAACTGTCAACATCAAAACAACACCCAATTAATAATTGGGTTCCAATACATATCCATAAGTTCGTGCTTGGGGTAAAAGACTACTTTACCCCCAACCTAGCTTGATCCAAGCCCAAGGCCCAAGCACACACTTTGAAGGCCCAAAACCAATAAATGAACCAAGGCCCAACATATGGACCAATATTCCAAATTAGACCCAAACCTCTACATGGTCTTACCTTAAGGCCCAACCATTTATTCTAGTCCCAACACTTAGCATTTCGATGGTCTCATATCTCATAATCATCAAGGCCCAATTATGGCCCATCTATGGCCCAATTTTCCAAATTGGGCCCAAGCCTTTCCAATGGGCCTTATCCTAAAGCCCAATAATTTCCTTAGTCCATAAACTTGTTCCCACTTGGCCCACGAAGTCCCACAACAACTTATTCCAAGACATGGCCCAACAAGAACCCAAACCTATTTAGGGTTTTTCACATAAAATGACGATTAGGGTTAAATGTTCTCGCTTAACCCATTAAGGACTTAATCCATTAAGTCCATCACTCTACTAAGTCAACCATACAATATGGTCGGGATTAATTCATAATTTCCAATCCAATGGTCCAAACATGCGGGTCCCGACAATTCCAAATTAACATATCCCAAAATTAGGGTTTTCTAAACCCTAATTAGGGTTTCCAACCCAATCGTGTTCCAATTAGTCCATTTGTCATTTTTGAGACTAATTAATGTTAATTAAGTCAGGCACCACCCACTACCACCTTGGGTAGTAGTGGTCAACGACGGTACAAGGCGGCGGCCACCACCTCACGGTGGTGGTGACGGATTTCCTTGATTATTCTAGCCAAAATACGATTATACAACATAATATCCAAATGAACAC